TCAATAAAATTATAATGGAACCACTTCAAATACTGGAGTAACAGGAGGTAACTGTAATTAGTTGCTTCCCCCCTTGGTGACGTAATGCTACTGAATCACATTCCTGGCTGGCGCAGAGCCTGTAGGATTCCTGCGCTGGTCTGTGCATGCTTGGTGCAGTCAGACCAGATTCCTGCACCACAGCCGGCTATGAATCAGGAGGCCAGGTTCACTGAGGGCAGAACAGCTGCACGACCGCTCTTAAATGGCTGTGACATACGTGCCAGTGTGCTGATGTACATTCAAAGTGACAAGCTTTTGTATGCAGGGAACTCCTTTAATGGATAATCACAAAGCAATAGGTTGGCGCTGAAGTACGTGCAGACGGGTAAATATATCAACTGCATCTGTCCCATCCTAATTATTAATGAGCAGTGAGGAGCCAACTGCAAACTGTGTTCTGCATTACACTCAAGTCCCTTTTCCACTGGTCAAAAACACACAAACACCCACCAACATCTGGATATGTATCTGCAGTCACCCCCGGGTCAAACCACTCTGCTGAAGAGACAGGTTTATCGGCTCTGCCTCTGGTCGGCAGTGAAGGAAACGAAACACCCAGGTGAATGCACTAATTTGACAAGACTGCGATGTGGAAGAGCGCCTCAGTTTTAGATGTGTCTGTGACGTTGAGCGTGATGCACTGGGTATAATATCTGAAAGCCAAACTATCTGAAAGCCAAACTCCTCATTTCACATTAGGGCTTAAATGTCTAAAAACAATGATCATGTTAGAAACATGCACAAATATTTGGTTCCAGTTTATTTAAACATTTTCAGATACATTCAGGATACACTACCACATAAAATTATGAGATGGAATTAGAAAGTAAATGACTAGGCCTCCTCTCAAACCTGGGGCCCCTGAGTAGTGTTATAGTTTTACACACTCCACCCAACACCCCTCTTACAAAAAGTGGTCAGATGTGGTATTTTGTAGACGCCATCTTCTGTATATTTTGTGTTCAGCTCTTTTCTGATACTTCTGAAAGGGAACATTTGGTACCTTTGGTAACAGTCACTGTTGAGATGCAATATAATCAGTCAGCCATTGTCAGCTCAGTGTTTGAACAGAAGTAGATGACATTAGACATCACACACACACACACACA